AAAATAATCTACAAATAAGAACCAAAATCTTGAGTGAAGCAATGGGAACTACCGTAGGGTCTATGCAAGGTCTCTAAATTCCTTTGCACCTTTAATAGCATTGCTGATTAGCTCAGATTAACAATTGGATGTATTTCTTTATTGAATTAATTTGACCAAATTGGCCCACTGTTTGGAAATTGTGTGTGTGTGTGTGTGTGTGTGTGTGTGTGTGTGTGTGTGTGTGTATATATATATGTTTTTGAGGGGTGGGATGGGGGATTGCAGATTTTCCTCTTGGTCCAAATTGTGACTTCCTGCACTTCCTAGAAATTTCTTACCCTGTAGATCATCTGTACAGTGGATCAGGCCTACCTTGGGGAATCTGTAACACTAATTCTGAATCCTGGCATCTTCTTTCAGGGAAACACACCTAGCAATAAATCTTTTCTGGAGAGACTCTCAGATTCAGTCCTGTAAGTCAGACATAAATGTTCTCTCTTCCAGAGCAGCTTCATATAAACAAAAGTATTATAAAAACAAGTGCCAATCAATTAGCAAACATACCACATTTCAGCTAGCACCATACTCCACTCATTAGTTTTCTCAATCCAGTCTAAATGCCCTTCACAGCAGTGAAAAATTAGGCTAAGTAATATTATACAAGTGAGCACTATTGCTTGAGACAATATTTATTTTCCTTTTTTTTTTTTTTTTTTTTGGATGTATAGCCAGATAGATTATTTCTCTTTAGAAACAAAGTTTCAATTGAAATTTTAGAATAAATCAAGGATTTCTTTGCAGTTGGAGTTGCTCCTTTTTTCACAGAGCAGATTTGTCCTAGTAGAAATTCGTAGGTGTTTTCACGGGAATGAATCATCTTCAGCAAAGCTGTTGAGCGTGAGGGTTAAGTCTAAGAATGCTGCTCTTATCAGAGCTATAATACTTCAGACTAACTTTATATATCTCATATCTTCTTACTGTACTGATGCGCAACTGTGCTGTATTTTAAAAAGTGATAATAAGTGTGTGTGCAGCAAATTCTACCATTAAAGGTGGGGAAGGGAAAGACTCCCTGTAAGCGAGAAAAAAGAACAAGACTACATCAGTGTTTCTCTACTTTCTAACCTACCAAATGGTCTCTTCCTAATAACCCTGGACATTAAATAAATTGGTCTAGTTTCTTTAAAATTTATTTTTCAATTATAGTTGACATACAATATCATACTAGTTTCAGATGTACAACATAGTGATTAGCATTTTTATACTTATGAAGTGATTACTCCAATAAATCTAGCACCCATCTGACTGGTCTCACTTCTTACTATACATTAAGAACATCCTTTCTTCCCCATCCTGATTACATTTTTCTAGCCTATAACATATTGGTGTTTATCCATTGAATCTAATGATTTAAGTTTCAGTGCCTTTATTTCTTGAATTCTTTCCAAGTCATTTTTCTCCTTAAAGGTAAGGAGACCTCAGTATTTTTAGTGGACATTCTGAGCAAGAAGAGATGCCTTGTGAATGTACAGACTGCCCTGAATTAGGGAAGATCAGCATGGCATGTTCACCTTTGAGTGGTGAAAAGGACAGTTAGGGACACTTACCTAAATGGATAGTTATGTAAAGCTAATGCATTTGCTTGATAGCTATTCTGCCTCTTTGGGCAGGTTGTCTCTTTTCTGAAAAAGGTTATAAGCATCAGCAAAAAGTATAAGAAAGAATAAAATTGACTAACGTGACATATTTGAGTTTCTTCCTACCAGTCTCTCAACAGCATGCCATAGAGAGGCAGTTCCAAACCCAGTGAGTTAAATTTAAATTACACAGCTTTGGCTAGAAAATTGTTCAGTTAATTCAGCCTCCAAAATGAAATTTAATTTTTTTCCCTATATTTAAGATCTTTTATTCACAAGACTATTGCTGGGTTGTTGTTTTTTAAAGACTGTTGCTGGGCTTTAATTTCTGAAGGAAAAGTATGAAAAGCAAGAATGTATATTCATTATACCAGGAAAAATACATTAAAAACTAAATTATAGTTTTATAATAAGGTCATATGTGTACAGTTTGTTTGTTTTTCCTATTCTGAAGGGCTATAGAAGATACTATTTAATGGGTGACATGTTTTGTTGTTTTAGGTACTGTGTTTTGTGAAAGATGACACTGAGAACATTCTAACACTTTCTGTCTGCTATGGAACTGTTCCAAAGGCTGTTGAATATAGAAAATAGGTCAACTTTTAAAACAAAATTTAACTTGTGTGGCTAAATAATTCAGTCTGCATCAAGCACTATACACTGAGTCACACATTTTCAGTCCTTGAATTTCTTTTAAGTAGCAATCTTTATTATGTGTATGTGATGTTTGACTTCTAATTCAGAATTTGAACCTAAGCAGTAAAAGAGGGAAGCTTAGTTCGACAAAGTACCAATATAGCTACTGTATATTGATTACATATTAACATGAGATGTTACATGGATGATTCACCCATACAATTTCCAGCTTAATATCTACAGTGGTATTATTTATAAATATAGTGCAAAACATGATTAAAGTGGTTCTACATTTGTGAAATAATAACAATGTTGAAATACTGCAACTTTTATGAGCATTTACAATGTGGTCCTACTCTAGGTCTTTCTGTATACTAATTTAATTTCTACAATTAGAACTATTATGCTGTCCAATTTTTCAGATGAGAAAAATAATGCACAGAATAGTTTTTAAATATATAAATCAGAGTTTCTCAACTTTTGCACTATTGGCATTTTGGGTCAGATGCCTCTGTTATGAGAGGGCTGTCACGTGCATTTTAGGATATTCAGCCGTTTTCCTGGTCTCTACCCATTAGGTGTCAGTAGTAGCTGGCACCCTCCACCTGACCCCCATCCAGCCTCCCTCAGCCCAATTGTATCAACTTGTGATGTCTCCAGACAGTGCCCAATGTCCCCCAGGTAGATGAGGGGAGAGGGGGCAACAGCACTGCTGAAATGAGAAGCGGATGGTTAAAAGCATTTATTCACATCCTCTTATCAAGAACAAAATGACCACCTTATATTGATTTCATTAATATAGTTAACATTCCTCATGGAAAATGGGAAATTCTCCTGTAACCATGAAATTGATTTTAAGGAGTATCCACTGTGGTTGAGAAAAAAGTATCTTTGTACTTGAAGTTAGCTCTATAAAAAGCAAATGATCTGCTCTGGGGCAAATTGGAACAATTGGCCTGCAAGACCTCATAATCCAATACCTTGTTATCAAGTCAGTGTGGCTGTTAGCCTGCAAGATGTGCTTGTGCCAAAGGGAGGATTTTTATTTATTTTTTTGGCTTTTAAAGCTCACTTTAATGAAAGATACCTATGTGACACTATCACACCAATTGCTGGTAGTTATCACTACCATGAACAGTTACAATTCCAGGGAACCTGATATTTTGAACTTCATCTTTTAAAATAACAGCAGCAAAATGAATGAATCCAGTCTGCTAATTGTCTCCGAGGAATTAAGAGCAGAATAATATGCAACCATGTCAAGATGCTATTTAAATGTGTGCATTTAATTAAAATTATATTGTGAAGCATTAGCATCTGAACAAATTCTTTATTCTTAATTAAGGATCCTGCACTTGAAAAAATTTTAGGCCTAATTTTCTTGTCACAAAAGTGCATCATCCCTTGTCTCGCTTTTTCAAAACGGCACAATTTTTTTGACATTTATTTATACTTTAATCTTGGACTGTATTAGGTCCTCCTTTAATGAAAGCAGTCATATCTTATATCTGCTTTTTAAAAAAAAGTAAGACCGATATTATTAAAAAATACTCTTACTAAGGTATAACTGATAAAGCATATTAGTTTCAAGTGTAAAACATGATACACTATTTCCATATATTGCAAAATACTCAGCATGATAAGTCTCCTTAACATGCACCACCATACATAGCTATGATCTACATTAATTCATTTTTAAATAAGAATTTCATTAATGTTGAAGTTCTGAGTATTGTCTAAACATTTATAATCTCCTTAATCCTCAGTTGATGTAATGAGACATTTTCCTGCTTGTACCTTGAATTCTCTGTTAGCATTAGCCAGATCTGCTGCAAACCTTCAAGGTTTCCATGCGCTGACTGTGCTGAGCTGCCTGCTGCTTGTAGAAGCCGTAGAGAACCTCTAGTGCTTGCAAATGAATTGATTCTGTGACTAACTGCTGGGATTTACACACTCTGCTTTTTACTGCAGTGATTGTTGTCTCTCTTGCTGTAAGTGCAATGAAGCCACTAGAATTTCACAGAGAAAACTGTGATCTCTTTCCTATTGACTGTAAAATACCCCCCCAAAATATGCTTTTCACTTATTATGAAACCTTAAGGATAAAAAGAACAGTAAGGACATGATACCTGCTACCGAAATGTTACCAAAACGAGAATTCAGTGTGAGAGCTAAACACGAAATTTTAAAATAACTTAGACTATATTTACTTCCCTTTTTACATCAGTGAGAGGTACTCTGTTTCCTAATAACGACAAGCTATGTCTCAGAGATTCATCAAACTCTACCTGGTCATGAATGTAAAAGGTTATAGCTATTCTGCTTTTAGGAGGCCATGCACAAGTACCGCATAAAACCTGCTGGTGCATACATTGTAGCTCTCCGGGGCTATCATAAATTTCAAATCATCTGTTTCTGCCAGGTTGTTCTAAACCTGTATGCTATTGTGTGTAGCTTCTCTGTGCCATTGAATGGATGGATTTATACAAGGTGGCTACCACCATGTCTGTGTCCTCATGTAAAATAAGCAATAACTGTGTTTTCACAAATATGCAAATACTTCCATGAGAGATCTAGAATAAGTTGAAAAAAATGTAAGCTTTGTGTCACGGGGACGGGAAATACTGATTTGGTTTCTCAGCCTGTCAGTTCAACACAAATAGTATTTTACTTGTCAATGAAACAAAGATGAGAAGCTCTGTTAAGATCCTTTAAATTAATCGACTGAATGTGATTCTTTTACAGACCACAGATGACATCCTTGTGGCCTCAGCAGAGTGTCCCAGCGATGACGAGGACATTGACCCCTGTGAGCCGAGCTCAGGTGGGTTAGGTTAGTCAACTTTTTTTCTTACTTTCTTTGCTTACTCTAAACCTTTGTTGCATGCTATGGTCCTTAGAAAAGCCCTGCATTTATTTCCAGAAGCCCATCCTATTATAGGATGCCTTGTTGTGAGATAAGGGTTCTTGCTTTTTACATGAATACATTTTTCCACATTTATTGAAAAAAGTTTAAAAACAAAACCCTCCAAGATTATGTATTTCAGAAACAGCAGTGGGAGATGGCACACAAGGCTGGTACCTTACTGTTCACATTCCATTAACTCCCAAAATAATTTTTGTGTATAACGTTATAATGGGCTTTCCTTTGGTCACCTATAGCAAAATTGTAAAGCTTAAAAATTACAGTGCATTGTGGAAAATTATTTGACCTTTCTACTGACAAAAAGTCCCCACCACTCAATCTACCAGCAAATTATCTTAAGTGATGTATTTCTGAATGTCGGAAGTGAGACTATTATGGCAGAAGTAAAACAAACAGCAGGTAGAGTCCTTACTGTATTTAATAGAGTATTTGAGTCTTGCCATAGCTCCCTAAAATTTAAGCTAATGCATTTTAACTCAAGCTAATGCATAATTTTTTCCTTCTTTGTGATACAGTGAGACTGACCAACACATAAACACTGTTTCCCTTCAGCCCTGTACCCTTTCCTCTCCTTTCTATTGAAGTGCTGGCTCTGGACAGAAAATTAATCACAGCCTAGATTTTATTTCAGATATTCATTACACCAAGTATTAGGGTCGTTTCCAGAGTTTACTTTGTAAAGTGTTATTTCTTAAAATTATAATTTTCTTGTTTAGATTAGCAAAATGAGTAAGGCAGGTATGGACTAACCACTGTCAGCTAACGCATGACCCCTGGCACCTAGATGTCACCTAGAACCCCAGGAAAACTTCACGCCTCAATAAAATTACTCATTTGCATTGTTCTGAAGAATATCATTTTAAAATAAATCTGCTCATTCTGATATTTGGATTCTTAAAAAAGTGGTTCAGGAGGCATATCTTACATTTCCTTCTGAATATCACTACTCCCCATTGGTTTTAGCTTCGAACTCTAAGCCCTCAGAGCAGCCACTGACTGCCAGTGAGGAGCAGAAGCCTAGCACTCCTATCTCAGCAGACGGCTTGGGAGATCCAGACCTCCTTCCTCTACCTCCACCCCACCATCAAAATTTTCAGCCTCCAGAATCCTCTTTCATGTACAATTATTAGCATTCTAATGATAGTCCTTTCCATTCCTCCAGTTTATATGACCATCCTGTTTTTGTTATGTAGACAGAGAGAGTCCCTTTATGATAACTTCCTGGGCCCCTTTGCCAAGATCCTACCTTTGTTTTCGTTTTTCTCATTCTCTCTGTGTTAAAGGAAAGAAAGAGAGAGAGAGAGAGAGAGAGAGAGAGAGAGAGAGAGAAGAAAGGAGGGAGAAA